AAGGAAAGCCTCCTGGCTCTGTCTTTCCTCCTTACCCTTTTCCTGTCCACTGAAGCATTCCTGACCCAAACTAAATCCCGTCCAGCTGAGCCCACCTGGCACCCCTCCAGCCTGGCTAGAGCTGCCTGCCCAGCAGAGACCTGCACCAACCAGTTTCACACTGCAAAATTCAATAGCCTGCTATTAGCTCAGCCAGGAAGGCAGGGAGAGCTGGAGAGGGGTGGAGCATAAAGAGCCGCAAAGGTTTGCTCTGCTCCAAAGTTGGGTTTGAAGTGGGAGGAAATGCGTTTTCCTCTAGCTCTTTTACAGTTTCCCTCCTGTCTGCTGAAACACTAAGGGGTTTGTTAGTTTATTCTTGAAAGGTCGTGGCACACAGTCTGCGCTTAATGCTCACCGAATGAATAAAGCAGCGAATGGATGGGGAATCTGCTGGCATCATGTGGAGGTCACTGGTCCCCGGAATATGCTCCCTAGAAGAGAAGGCGTGGGCAGGACAGGGCTCTTGCTGTACACTGCCAGAGCTGCCCCGCACTCCAGACCCTTCCAGGCAAAGTCACAACAGGCCAAGGGACACGAGGGACCCCCCTTTAGCAGAAGCACACGGGCCATGCATTTCTCAGGCCCTGACTCCTGAGAGCTTGCAGACTAACCAGAGACAGCATTAGCTCCCACAGAACAATGATGCGAATCACGCAAATCAACAAATAATCAGCCTTAAGTGATGTAGGGAGAAGTATAATTATAATTAGAGCTCAAAGGAAAGAGAGACGTGAAGCTGGAACAGTCCAAAAAGCTCCACCGAAGAAGTAGGATTTGACCTTGACGCAGAGAAGACGTCATGCTCGTTCACGTGAGGGAAACGCCGCAGGTTAATTTTCTGGACCCCGCTCCCATCCCGGGCATCACAGTGCTATTTTCCAGCTGCATGCCTGAGCCTCTTTTCAATTTGCCTGCCACGGCCTGATGGCAGGCGAGATTTCCATCACCCTGCGAGCAGAGGGGCTTCACAGAGCAGTGCAGTGAGTGCTGATGAGGCCCACAGGCTCGATGCCAGGCTGTGACCCAGATGCACGAATTTGCTGCTTCAATGTTCCATCAGGAGAGTCCGCTGGGGAGCTCTAATCCTAAGCGAAACCATCTTGATTACAAAGGAAGCAATGACAACACCGGATCGTTTAACTGCTGACCTTCCAGTGAAACGCACAGCGGCATTAACGTTCTCCGCCGTAACGCCGGGTGTAAGCAGTTAATCTGATTTCAGCTGAATGGCACATAAGCAGGCGGTGTGTGGGATTACTGAAGGGAAAGAGAGTTAAGCCAGTTATGGTGTCCCGGGATGTTTTCCCACTGTCGCCTTCACTGGTGTTTTTCAAAGGTCTGCTCCATCACTCAGGATCTAGGGCGCTAGCGTTGGGGCAGTGACCCACGAGGCCGGCCCTGGCCCAGCCTGGAAGCTGTGGGTTTCACTGGACAGTCCTGGAATGTAAGGGGTGCATCTCGGGGCTGTATTTATACCCCTTACTGTGAACTCTATGCACAGCCAAACCTTTTTTCAGGGCCGAAACATCCCTTTACATGGGCCTGCTACAGACACCTTACAGCCTCGCGTGACGTGGCTCAGGGATAATTCTGCCATCTGTCCCCAGAGACACAGTATTCCTAAACCATTCCCTGAACTGCTGGGGTGAAAGGAGAATCTGGGGTGACAGCACACACCCAGCACTCTGGAAGGCTGAGGCAGGAGTGTAAAATGTTCAAGCCCAACCTGGGCAATTTAGTGATATGGTGAGACCTATTTCAAAATATCAACTGAAACTGCCTGGTGATGTAGCTCAGGACAAAGGGTCTCGGTTCAACCTCCAGTTCTCCTTACCACAACAGAAGAAAAACTGCAAGACATCATGGGACCATGGGAGGAGTGAACTGGAGGAGGCAGAATGTATCTTCAGCAGGACATGATGGAAAATACCCGAGTCCCAGCACTCTGGGAGGCTGAGGCAGGAGGATTAAAAAAGTTCAAGCCGTTTGGGAAATGTATTGATTTAGCAGGACCAGCAAACTCAGTGACTTAAAAAGGGCCTGCGATGTAGCTCAGTGGTAATGCTCTGGGTTCAAGCCCCAGGAATGGGCTAAAACAACAGAAGAGAATGTGCCTTCAACTCAACTTAAATGCAACAAAAGCTTCTACCAGTGCCCATCTGACTGTCAGTCTGCTTTCAGGAACTAAGCTTCACAAAGTAATTAAGATTTCTTCAAGCACTGTGAGAGACTAAGAGAGGAGGACTACAAGTTCTCAGGCATCTCAGCTATTCAGGAAAAAAAAATATGAAATATATATTATATATATTTCATGTATTATATGTAAAATTTTTTAAAAAGGACCAAAAGTATAGCTCAGTATAAAGGTCACAGGTTCAGGGGTGGGGGGTTTAGCTCAGCAGCATAAGCACCTGCCTTGCAAGCAGGGGGTCGTGAGTTCGATCCCCGGTACCGATTAAAAAAAAAAAAAAGTCACAGGTTCAAGCACTACTATAAAAAGACTTCCTTTTGGAAAATTTGTATCCATTTGTACTATCAGAAGTGATTATTTTCTTTTCACACCAGATGCTACAGATACTACAGTTTCTGTGCCTGCCAACTCATTCAGTGCAACATAGTTTCATTATGTAGCGATCATTTTAAAAAACATTTGTGGTTAATAGTTAATTGTACACTATTCATAGCTCCACTTTTTTACTTTTATACTGCTCCGTCTTTTTTACTTCTCTGCTTTTCTCTCACTGACTTCTCTGTGCGATATTTACTTACCTCTAATTTTATCCTTTAAATTTTATGTTATATTAATCTTAAGCAGACTATAAGATGATTGGCTGGCTCTTTGATTATTCATTTTTAACAGATAATGGAAATATTTTGATTCCTGCAGCAGCATCCTAGGGAAACGGCTCCGATGGGAAGTGAGCCTCAGAGTAGACAGTTTTGTAGATGGAAGCTCAGGTGAAACAGAACAAGAACGTCAGATGTGTAGGAATCCTATTTATCCCAAGGCCGCGGTCTTGTGGTTGTACCATATCAGGGTTCCAACAAGGTGACACCTGCTGGCTAAGGAGCTAATGGACACCTCTGTTACACAAATGTCTTAGTACCTGAATTCCTGAACTTTAACTTGTTCAAGATACACTGACACTGTTGAAATGAGTCCACAAATACTGTATTTGGAATTTCTGCCTCCATTTTTTTTTTTGAGAAAGGGTTTTATTAATAGTTCAGGCTGGCCTTAAACTCACTACGTAGCCCAGGCTGGCCTTGAACTCGTGGCAATCCTCCTGCCTTGACCTCCCCAAGTGCTGGGAGTACCAGCTTGTGCCACCGTGTCTCTCTTGCCTCCGTATTTTTAACTGGTGTTTACTGTTTCCTTTCTGTGCCATGTCCATCAAGTCTGGTTGGAAAAGTGTGCTGTCTTCAACCCTCTCTGCCTCCCTCTCTTCCTGCTTATACTTAACTATTCACTTATATTGGGATTTAAATCGACCATTTTGCCATTTGTTGTGTTCTACGTTATCATTTCCTTTTCTTGATTTATCTATAGATAATTCCTTCATTTCACTTTGTAATTATACCCTCTTTTACTTTTAGTAGTTACCTTAACAATTTCAACATGAATCCTCATCTTCAGTGTTACTGGGACTTCTGATCTTCACAAATAGCACAATGGCCATTCAACATTTTGACTCCAAGAATCCTGTGATGGTTAATTTTAGGTGTCATCTGGCTGGGCCACAGTCATTGCTTGGTACTGCTAACTGAGATACTGGGTTGGAGCAAAGACTATGACCTGCACGGACAGAGTTAAGCCTGCCAGACAGCACAAGGTCAGCAGAGCTTCAGTGCTGTGGCCAATGCGGGTCCTGAGGTTCCTGGGCTAAGGACCCAAGAGGATGAGAAAAATAAAGAAAAGACAAAGCTGGGGTCAGTGGTGCCCTTCTCCTGAGGGGAGGAAAGGAACTGCTCACCCCTGGAGCACCTTGATTTATACACTGGGCAGGGTGAGGTGAGTCTCAGCGCCTCAGCCAGCACCCCTTGCCTGGCAGGCCTGGGCCCTGCCTTCTTGGTGCTGGGCCACCTTGTTTACATGGCTTGTTTTGGTCTCTCTGTTTTTTCTGGGCTTGCTTTAGCCACACACGGGATCAACCTGCAGCTTCAATGGCGCCCTGCATGTTAGCCCTTCCTGTAATCTCACTCCTCAAAGCTTCTCCAGCAGACACACAACCTACTTATCACACGGTGAACCCAACTCCCTCCTTCTCAGGGGGCCAGTTACAACACGGGCCTGAGGGAACCCTTCCCCTGAAAAGAAAAAAAACAGGAAGGAAGGAAAGAGGCATGTTGATGATCTCCGCTGTCTACTACAGGCCAGACTTACCCAAACTCTGCCCCTTCCCATCAGATCGCACCGCGGGATCCTCACACACATTGCAGGACTTTGGAGTGGAGGGAGCAGAAATTCAGCATGCAGACTCCGCCCGCTCACCTGCTTTATCCTCTTGCTCCTGCTTACCCCACCGCAGGGACTAGTTTTCCAGTGCTATGGGAGAAAAGCCGTGAGACACAGCGTGTGCATGCCACGGGGCAGAGGTTGGATTTTGACTTGTAAGGTCCCTGGGCTGTACCCAGGGCGGCCTGGAGAGGGCAGCCAAAATACAGCGAGGATTTCCAAACAGCCAAGCTCAAGTTCTGTGTATCTCAGCTCGTATTAGATGCCTGGCAACAGCACTTCAAATGGAAGCAGAAAGTGATGTACTAAGAGGAGAGAATGCAAACACAAGTCCCTCTGGTGCCCTCGGAAGCACAGGCAGCTTTTGCTGTCTCTGATGACACCCAGGACAAAGGCCAGAACCCCGGCTCAGGGTTCTACGACCAGATGATCTCGAAGCTTCTGCTAGTTCAAGAAATATAGATAGTTGGGACACTGTTCTTCTCATCTAAAACTCTTACACAGGTCAGCAATGATACTTTTATTCTCAAAAGCCAACGCTACTGAGGTGTAGTCTTTGACAGGAAGATACACCTAACTACAGCATCCTTCCCAGAAAACATTTCACTTTACAAAGAATATGTTACAGTAAAAAGTACAGTTCATCCATGAAACTGGTCCCAATGGGAGTAACATTTACTAACTAAACTGAGGTGTTATTTGTTGACTGAAAGAGTTACACTTTAAAATGTCTGATGTTATTTTTATTTCCCAAACAACAAAAGATAAATAATACAAGAATACATTTTATTTGCAGTAAAATCTTAAGAAGATGAAAATGTATGTTATGTTACATCTGAAGTTTTCAAAAACTATTTAAAAATCCATGTATCATTCCAATTTCTTTAAGTTCCTTTAAAGTATCAAAAAAACTTAAGATATTTTTGTGCAATACAGGCATGATGTGTTTCAGAGTTCAAAACTACGCAAATAATTTTTGATACAACTACAAAATGAAACAGATTTTGTACAGCACTTAATACTTTTTTTTTTTTTTTTTTTTTGTCTTTTTGCTTTTTATCGGTACCAGGGATCGAACTCACAACCGCCTGCTTGCAAGGCAGGCGCTTATGCCGCTGAGCTAAATCCCCAGCCCCAATACTTATTTTTGAAATCGACTACTGCTGATGCAGCTTCTGCAAAGCAATGACCCCCCCAGAAAACAGTAGACTGTCTTTTCCTTTTTAAAGTGCTTATTAGTTTTATCGTCAAAAGCAATGATTCTTGCAAACATAATATTGAAAGGTGCTCAAGTCACTACGCTGACTGAAACACATTTTCTGACTTTTCAGTGTAAACTGGTTTTATCTGCATTAATGAAGACTGCTTTCAATGACTCTCAACCACATGCGTCGAAGCACGACAGCCCAGCAGCAGCAACAGCGGCGGCAAAATGACCCGCAGTGATTTAAGCGGATCACAGCAGATCGGAGAGCTGTCACAGTTTTAGAATGATCCAGATACCCACGGCGAGCCTTCTCCTTCACTCTGCACATACAATCAACATACAACAAAACCCCAAACACACCCGAGTTTCTGTAGCATTTTACAGTCTACAAAGAGGTTCAAATTGTCTTGTATTTAACCAAACTACACAGAGGACAAAGGAGACTTCATGTCCTCACCATTTAAAACAAAGCCTGATTCTGCCATGAAAGCAAGGAGTGAGCGAATCCCTTAATGCTAAAACCTTGAGGAACGAAACTGTGAGCAATTCGGAAGCAGCCCTGGCCTAAAGGCTGACCCATGGGTCCTGCACCGGAACTGAAGGTTTCTGAGCGGGACGCTGTGGCTCACTTCAGCCATGTGGGTTTCGCCTGCCTTCAGAACTGAGCAGAGCAAGCAGTGCCTTAGCCTGACTGCTGCCTGTGGGATCCCAGCACTCACACCCCTAACACGCACCCCTGGGCGTCAGCTCTATTTTCTGACCCTTAAACTTGTTACTTCCTCCTTTCCCCCAAAATCTCTATGTATCCCAAGAGCAACTGTTCATTAAAAAACCACAACTGAAATACAGTTTGATATTACATTTGATTCAAAGTAATAATAAATTATAAATTGCCAAATAATTTAATGTATTTCACAATGCAAATCCCTAGTTTAAAAAAAAAAAAATATCTTGCCCTGAATATAACAAAGCAGTCCGGTGAGTTTAAATTGCTTATGAAATAAAGGCAAAAATAAAATGTAAAATACTATTTACAAAAGTCAAGTAAGAAACCAGTTACCATAAATCTTTTTACAAAGATAAATGTAATGTGGTTTATCACTCCTAAAAATCGTTAAGGATGCTTACAATTAGTAGTTTCAGAAACAACGTTAAGGAAACTAGACACTGAGTTACATATGACACATTAAATATATTCATAACAGTAACACGCAGCAGGGAGTAATTTAAGCCAGTCTTTGGATCTGCTATCTTTAGCAAATATATTTCTTTTTCAAAGACTGTGCTATAACATTAATTTTTAAATGTTAGTCCTCAAAAACCTTTTTACTTGAGGTATTTATGCAAATGAGACAAAAGAAGTCTCAAGTACTAATAATATGTCTACAAAATAAGGATTTTCCTTGTGTCTTTTGTTGTTGTAACAAATACCCTTCAAAACAGACAATTATGTTTGGAAATTAACAAATCCAATTCTTTAAAGAAAAGGGTGGAAAGAAACAAAAGTTGAAAATTCTCATTGAAACGTATATCTGCTTCCTCGAGTTTCTCAGCACTTGACTTGTCCGATCGGCTTCTCTTCGTTGTGACTGAGCTGTGTCGTCCACCGCTTATCCGGATGATACGATGTTGAGTCCCTATTTTGTAGGTTTCAGTTTGAATTTTCTTGAATGTTTGCAAAACTGGTACTAGACTTCAGACGTTTGGCTGGATGAGACAAAAGTATTACATTTTAAATGTAATTCTCTAACCAACATTATTTAATATTCCTATAAAACTATAGTATTTGTCTACTTTTTGAATCTGATAGATCCAATTTTGCGAGGGGAGGTTGAGACAGGGTCTTTCTTTGAGGTATAGGCTCACTTTGAACTCACTATGTAGTCCCAGCTGGCCTCAAGCTTGCAATCCTCCTGCTTCAGCCTCCCAAATGCTGGGATTATAGACATGCATGTGCGCCACCCTGCTTGGCTTGAATAGATCTGATCTTACAAGAAACACAACGTAGGCTTTTTTTCTCTACTAACCTAAAAAAAAAAAATCACTTTGAAACTACATATGATGATTTTGTTATAAGCAGTACAAATAAAACAAGCATCAGGTATCTTCTTAAACATCACAATCTTAAATATGTATTGTTGCCTAGAAAATAAAAGTATTAAAACCAGGCATGGTGGTACACACCTGTGATCCCAGTACTAGGGAAGCTGAGGCAGGAAGATCATTGGAAATTCGAGACAAGCCTGGGCTACAAAGTGAGCTCAAAGCCAGCCTGAATTTCATAGCGAGACGCTGTCTCAAAAAGACCAAGAAAAAAAAAGTACTATAAAGCATAATAATAAAATTACATATTTAGTGATAGGCCCTGCATTCAATCCTGCTACCAAAAAAAAAAAAAAAAAGGAGGGAGGAGAAAAAGACAAAAAAATACATATATTTAAAATTCCAAGCTAGAATCTAATCCAAATTCTTCTTAGAAGAATTCAGGGACTGGGGATTTAGCTCAGCAGCATAAGCGCCTGCTTTGCAAGTGCAGTCATGAGTTCGATCCTTGGTACCAATTAAAAAAAAAAAAAAGGAATTCAGTGAGGGCGGAGAATTTAGCCAGTGGCATAAGCACCTGTCCAGAAAGCATGAGGTCATGAGTTCGATGCCCGGTACCAAAAAAACAAAAACAAAAAGAATTCAGTGAAAACTTCCTCAACCTGATAAAAGGTACCTACAAAGATTCTACAGCAGTCCCCATGCTTAATTCTGAAAGCCTAAAACATCTTCCACCAAGATCTTGCACAAGACAAGCAAACTTGGTCTTCTTCAACATCATGACACAGTTCAGTGAATGAAACATGACAAGAAAGCAAACTGCCTCTATTTTCAGTTGAAAAGAAATTCAGGGGCTGAGACCACAGCTTGGGAGCAGAGTGCACGCTTAGCACGTGTGAGGCCCTGAGCCTAACTGCCAGCACCACACACATACAAAACTTAATTGACGAAAATGAGGTATGTGTTACACACACACACACATAACGGCCATTAATGAAATAGGGTACAGTTTTGATTATGGTGTTAATGGGATTAAGTCCTTCGGATTAATAGAAGAAGTCACGAGGACCTGGCCGGGCAGCACATTTTGTACCATGTTTTGATTGGGCAACTAGGACTCTCCCGCCTTCAGAAGTTCGTAATGCTGGATTAACTTTAAGGCTGTAAATAGAAAGACCTGCAGCACGTTCCAGGTTCCTGTACTGATTTTAAACTCTGCAGGCAGTTCTGATGCACAGCCAGGGGTGACAATGACTGCTTTAGTTTCTACCAGGGTCTCCCTGACCACCACTGCACCTGCGAAATGACAACACGACTTTCTGAATCAGTGTTTTGCTTCAACCTAAACTAACGGGCAAATTTGACCTAAAAAATGACCTAAACAAGCAGTCTACGTTTTAATCCCTCAGTGGACTGAGGAGCCAAAGTAATCAGTAGTTTGATTCTTTTTGGTTGGTTTTCTATTTATTTAAAATTACTAGATATGGTCTAGCTTCTAATATCAAATTACTTAATAAACTCACCAGTTATATATACTTAAAATTCCTTACCGCTCTGATCTCTATCTAACTAATCCCTACATCCTTTAAAATCCCACCCCTGGGACCACATAACGGTGAATTCCAAAACCCTTCCAGGGTCCCCTGTGTGGCCTAACCACACCGTGTGTCGCTCTACTACAGGCCTATGCTAGGCAAGCACCCCACCTCCCCGTGAGGTGCCAGGCCCCTCCTATCTCCTCACCTTTTATGAACTGTGCTTCTGTGAAACATTAATAGGTGTTACATGCAAGTTCTACTCTCCAGTTCTGAGACGTGCAACCCCAGGGTCTTTATCTTATATCCTTATACCTTATGAAGCTCACGAAAAGACATGGTATGCAGTATTTCTCGATCTTCTCTGATTCATAATTTTTGCATAAAGAATTTCATAGTACTAGTATTTCGAGAAACACTAACATTAAATACAGTACAATGTTTCATTCAACTTTCTAGATGTTGGTGATATAAAGGTGAACAACATAAAATTCTTGTCTTGATAAAATTCTTGTTTTGGAACTTAAAGGATTTAACTTACACTAGGTTAGCAATTAATGTTATTAAACATACCTAAGAATGAAGGGAAGGGTGTATTCTTGGACTGACGGAAGGCTAAAAGGTCCCTGAACAAGCGACCTTGACCCCGAGACCCACGTGACCAGGAGGTGGGGGGGGGAATTGGGCGGGGCTTCGGGAGGGGGCGGAGTCCGGGAGGACCGGAGAGAAAGCCAGCTGCCTACAGCAGCGCCAGCAATGGACCGAGGCTGGGCCGTGCACAGTGCACAGCCGGAAGGGCCACTCCGCAGGAGTACCGACTGCCCTAGGTACAGCAGGAGCGCAGGAAGGGTTCCACGTGGGAGAGGGGCGTGGTGACACCTGTGTTTAACAAGACTCATGGCCAGGCACAGCGGCACAGGTCTGTAATCTCAGAGCTCAGAAAGCTGGGATGGCAAGATAAGCCCAGCCCATATAACTCAGCAATTCAGCAAGACACCGTTTCAAAATACAAAACCAAAAATGGCTGGGGGTGTAGTTCAGTGTCAAGGACCTGGATTCAACTCCCAGTACCAAGAAAAAATAGCAAACGGCATGCTGGCTGTAGTAGCTTAGAGCCCTCACATCTCCACCTGCTACTGCCATGCCCCGACCACAGTGCCCTGATACTACTCTTCCGTTGCTGCCAACCTTATTCAAGGCACAAGCTAGACTTAATCCAATTCAGTTAATCATCAGAAAGACATTGTCTTTGATTTTTAGTTATTATCTATTCTTACACAATTCTCACATTTCTTCCATAAATAAGCATAACTGTAAAGCAGAGAATCATTTTAGGCTAATATACTTTGCATTCTTTCTCTACATATATACTACATACACGTATTAAAATAGATCTAAGGGGCTGGGGATTAAGCTCAGTGGCATAAGCGCCTGCCTTGGAAGCAGGTGGTCATGAGTTCGATACCGGGTACCGATAAAAAAAAAAAAAAGAAATAAAATAGATCTAAATAGATAAGACAACTTACGTAAGATGAGTTTACGTTTCTTTTGCTCCGAGTGAAGAAAGCTACTAAGGTAGAAGACCACTGGGAGGAAGAGGATGAACACAGAAACAGCGATCACAGGCACCGTGTCACTGCACGGGACTGAACAGTTGAAGGTGCGACTCCAAAGTTTTCGAGTAATGTTCATCTGGAACAATAACAACAAATGCTATTACTTTATTTTGTATTTAACTGGACTTCAATTTCTTGTAATATTTTGCTAATGTCTAAACAGGTACTCAGACTTAAACTAAATACTCAGCCCTAAAATATACTGAATGTTGAGGACAATTTCTTTTGCCAGGGAAACATACTGATTTATAATTAGTCATTGTTTGCATTTATTTATTTTTTTGTTTGTTTCCATTTAAATGCTCACTAGAGTACAACAGAATGTCAGCCACTAGATAGCTTTCAGAAAACTTACAGCAGTAGGAATGCAGCTGATTCTGTTTGCCTGCTTAAAAATTATTATTTACAGAGAGCCTACTACAAACTAAACACTATTCTAGGCAACAGGAACACAGCAGTAAAAACCAAAACCCAGGGTAGAGCCAAGATAAGAGCTTTTTACCATCCTGAATGTTCCTGGTCCACTCCCGATTCTGAGACAATTCACATTCATTATTTTCAACTTTTAATCTTATCAATTTGATACCTAATTCTCAACTTTGAGCCAACAATTTGTTTCCTCTAACCCCTCAAGGCTCAGGCATCATATCGCCTAAAAAGGCATGACTGCCATCTAGTGGTGCCCATGTAAAGGCCGGCTACCACAGGGTGAAAAGGTTTTTGCTGACCAATTAATCATATTTACTAAGAACTCAGTCATTACCTTATATACTGAGTGATGAACCACAAAAAAATGATAAACACTGTCAGACTGTAGTAGATATAAAGAAATAATGTAACAGGAAGTGACTGAATAGATTTTGAACAACATAGTAAGACCTGCAAACTCTTTTAACAAATATACAAGAAACTGAAATGTAAACATGTAGCAAGGCCCACGCCTTATGAAATGCCTGATTTTCATTTTAGTCTGCTAGATCAGAATATTCTAAAACCTTACTATTTTATAACTACTCTTAATTATTTCTAACCGCAAACACCACACGCAGTATCTCAAAGAGATGGCCCTGAGGGCACGTTCAACAGCACTGAACTGCGCGGCCGCCAGAGGAAAAGCACTTACTGCGTCTTCCACGTCGATGCATAAGTGCGTCCCGGGCTCAGCCTTGTTCTCAAGGTCATTCAGTTTCTGCATCTGACCGTACAGACTGCTTAGGTTTTTGTAGTTCTCGCGGCAGCTTCTGCAGACCTCTGAGTAATTTTTTGGCGGCAGCAGACCGTGTGCAGCCCCCTGGGATGACACAGACGATGTAAGATCCAACGTGAACACTACACACACGGCCCTGTCACCACACTGCCACATCCGGCCTCCGGGGCAGTAGCCACACGGGGGCTCGGCTGCTGGGCTCTGACCCGGGCAAGGCGGCTGCAAGCTTCGTCGCTAAGGGGAGAGGCCTGGACGGGGAGGCACACGAGCAAACGTCGGGGGTCTTCTACAGTGTCCTTAGATTTGAAGACACTGCTAAACCAAGACAGCACTAGCCTATGTGCCAAACCACCAACAGGAAGACACCAGATTCCTTCAGTTACCTCATCAGTACGTATCTGCACTTCTCTACCCTGCTCTCACTGAATAAAGAAAATATGTCCCTGCCAGAGCCGACCTCACCAAATTTAGCTGGTTGAGGCAGGACTTTTGTAACAGGAAAAGAAAAGGGGAAAAAAACTGTGGCCCCGTGGAATTCTCCTGTCACAGGGCTCACAATCCAGGCCTTTTGAAAGCTCCAACACTGGATTGTAGCACACGTCTGTAAGCCCAGCACTTGGGGGGCTGGGGCAGGAGGGTCACTGTGAGCGTCAGGCCAGGCCTGGTGCATGATGAGTTCAAGGGCAGCCTGCACAGTGAGACCCTGTCTCAAAAATTCAATAAAAAATAAAATTTGGATTGCAGGTTTATTTCAATCAATTATTACTATGGAGTTCTATTTTGGTCTAGAAAAGAATAACTAGACATTGTTTAATTTTACAAACTGAAAGAAAACTATAGATTCAAATATTTTTAAAACTTTTAAGAGAGAAAGATGTTTAAATTGCCAGATAAGGCAGTGCATGCCTGTAAACCCTACACTTGGGAGGCTGAGGCAGGAAGACCGCTGTGATTCAAGGCCAGTCGGAACTGCATAGCAAGACTGTCTTGAAACAAAAAAGTTTAAATGCAGAAAATGAAACCACAGAAGTACTAAAACAAATTTTAAAAATAATCACTTGTGGAAAAAGCCTTTTTCGTGTGTCAGAAATACCACAGGCCATTTAAATAACTGATAAATCTAACAAAATTAAAATTTTCTTCATGACAAAAGAAAAATACAATAAAAAACAAACCAGGAAGAATGTGCAACCAGCATGACATGAAAAGTGCTCATTTTCTTCATATATATTTCTTAAAACAGTCTCTGAAGTCATCAACTTCCTATTAAGTTGCAGTATCAAAATTCAAAGATCAAAGATAGAGACAATAAAATCTATCAGGTTGAATTCTTGAAGGCTGCCTTGATAGCACGATCCTCAAAGTTATCTTACTAAACAATGCCTTTAAAAGTATATAAAATATATTTTTAAAATATTGAGGCAAAGAGTAAACTTCCTATAGACAGAACCATTCTGTGTTGTAAAATACTTTATATCATACACAAAGTAAAGTATATTACTGCGTTTTAGTTAAATAACTGCATGTCTCAGTTAATGATTTCATATCCACTATCCCAGCGGACCCTCACTACAAAATACTGAAGATAAGCAGAGTAAATATTACTATCCCTACTCTGTAAGTGATTAAATTGAAGTTTTAATGATTTGTAACTAGAAGAAAAACAGAAATACAGATCTATTAAGTCATCTACATCGTAAGGTCTGCACAAATATCAACAATTAATGCTACAAAACTTTAGAATTACACACTGTTCATTCATGTAAGACAGCATTTTCATTTCAAATATATTTAAATACCTGAAGGTTACTCTCAAAGCAGGTCAAGGTTTGATTAAACAGGTTGAGGAAATCTAATGTAGTGTTTGATAATTCTTCACTGTTGTTTGTTAAACAATCTGTTTTTTTAAAAAGAAAAGTACAAACACACGTAAGCAACAATCATCTAGGTACTGTCATTCCGCATCATGTCGTGGTTCTGGGATCAAACCCAAGGCCTTGCACATGCCGGCTACACAGGCCGCCACCTGTCTCCCAGGCTCTCACCGCTGCTTCACACCTAGCATTCCTCCCTCCCACAACAAGAAGGATTCCACGAAAATGTCTCAAGACACTTAAAACATTTCTTTTCCCAATTAAAATTTTTTCTTGAAAATCTTTATCACATACCCACTCAAATAAAATTTAAAGTGACAACCAGGCTTAGACAAAAGGATTACAAGTTCAAACCCAGCCTGGGCAACCTTAACAAGATCCTATCTCAAAATAAAAGAAAAATTTTAAATAGACTGAGGATATAGCTCAATGACTGAGCACTTGCCTAACATTCATGAGGCCCTGGGTTTAATCCACAGCACTACAAACAAACAAACATTTTAAATTGACCTTTAATGGAGAAAAGGGTCTCGATCATGAACACCAGCTATCAAATGTTGCTTTAGTGACGCTATTCGCTAGTAACACTGCTTACCCTACATGTATTTTACCTAATTATGCCATTTTATCCTTGTTCATACCAAGTCCAGTAGTTCTCTTCCAACTTCAATAATGGGTCAATTTGTACATGACACGGTAATTTAATTTGCTCTTTCTATACTATGCATTGAGAGTACAAAATTTTGCCTAAAATAGTGACAAACGGGGCTTCCAGTGAAGTCTGGAAATAATTAGAATTGTTTTACATGCTCTTGTGAATCTTACAGAACTGACATTCTTCTGTAACTTGCTGCTCCTGCCCGACAGTGGCTCATTTGTTCTTCTCATCGTCTAAGTGTGAACATGCCACACTTTCCCCCACTCCCCTTGAGCGGGAACCTGCTTGTCACCTTCTCCTCCAGTGCAGGCTGACTGCCTGGCTTCAGAGCCCAGAATCTGGATCAGAGCTGGATAGTGGCCAAGCATCTCTATCTCGTTCCTCAAACCCTTGTCCTCTTTTCTGTCCACATACCCACAAATTCCCACTGCTTTCTTTACTCTTCGTTCTGATTACAGAATACTACTACAAAAAATTCTAAAGTGAAGGAACCTGATCAAACGCACGCTTTCTGATCTCGAGGTCATGACACAATCGCATAGAGGGTCTCTGTGTTCTAGTCCTCGGCCCTGTTTGTGTCCTCCTTAATTTCAACACGTACTTTATATCACGTTCACCTGGCTCAGACAATCATAGCCACTGACAGGCTCTTTCTTAACGGGACGCGGAGGAAGCAGTCACTGGACAGCCCAGGAGAACGGTGGCAAAGCAAACAACCTGATGAGTGGCGGACGCAGCTGGTGCAGTGCGGCGTGCAGCGCGGTTCAGCTTTGGGAGGCGGAGGCGGAGGGTCAGTTCAGACCACCTGGGCCACACAGACAGTTCACGGCCAGCCCAAACTAACGAGGCTTTGTCACAAACACAACACAACGTGACACAAGAAGGAGAATAAGAGACACTCAATTAAAGCTGGGTGACACTAGACAGGACAGTAAAGGACAGCCCACGTGTCACGGGAAGGCCAGCCACGGCAGTTACAGCAGGGGGAGCTGACACAGGCTGCCGTGTCCAAGTACTACGTCTACACGGGGAACTCAGTTACTCACTGAGCTGTCGCAATGCTTCTGAGAGACAGTAGCATCATGACTTCCATTGGAAAATAGAGGACAGATGGTTAGAGAAATTAAGGCGGCTGCCCCAAGACGTAAAACTGATTAACAGAATGCTGGATTGGGCCTCAGCCTGAATCTTGAACCTGCACTTTCAAATGCTGCAAAATGAACAAAACATTCATGTCTACATTTTAAGCCAGCAAAACGTTTAAGCCTCACAGCCACACATGCCTTGGCTCCTGCCTCCAGCACCCAGCGACATCTTACCCCACAAGGATTCAGGCATTCCTCAGCTGGTCAGAGTGGGCACCGACATGAAACCTAAACCTGGTGACCAGGGCAGCGGCAACTAGCATTTTAAGACTCCTGTCTAGAAATATCTCTCCCTCTGGGTGGGGGAACTACGGGCACTGTGCCTCCAGAAGCAAGCTGGAATAGCCTGGTCACCATTACCACCCCACTGCACCCCTGCCCGTGTGCACCAGGGTACAGTGCTCTCCTGCTGAACCTACTCCTGGATTCTCTTCCCCTGGAACTCATGTACTTGGGCCGGGGATATAGCTCCACGGCACAAGTGCCTGCCTGGCAAGTGCAAGGTCCTGAGTTCGATTCCCGGCGCCCTTTGCGGGGGGCGGGGTGGGGGGGGAGGGGAGGAACTCACATACTCTACATTCTCTGCAGCTTTATCTTCCCAAAGAACAGGAATCTCATTCAATTAAAGTACTACCAAAACAGATTTACTGGGAGTCCCTTTTAATGCGAGCTTAACACCGTCATGAAACAGCCTGGAATTCGTAGGTATGAGGCAGAGCAGGTATAGATAAAAAGAAACACAACTACACACATGCAGGATATTATCAGTGTATCAGGCTACCGCGTTTGAGAAGGTTTTCAGTTTTTGTGGTTGACGGCTTGCAGGAAGTTGAGGAAGCTCGAATTCATCCACATGTAACCTTACAACACCGCACCACGTCACAACTGACACACCGTGTACGGGGAGAGGAGTGTGTCTCCCCGCGTGGCCTACAGTGACACCAAGCGCACTGACACGAGGCAGCAGCATGTGACGTGAGATAAGCCAGGCACACACACTTAAATACTGCGTGGTTTCCTTACATGAGACACTCAAAATACATACACACACACACACACACACACACACACACACACGCACATATAGATACGTAAAAAGAGAACGAGAAGGGCAGACAGAAGATAGATAAATAGGAAGCAGGGAAAAGTTCAAGCAATTCCTCAAATTATCGACTGTTTCAAAACTATTTTATGAGTATGTGCTAATTTGTTTCATCTATACCACTAGTTTCTGTCTGTTCACAGAAGCTTCGTTTGTCCTTTTGTTTGTTTCTTCCTTGTCAGAGAAAGTCTCCTTGTGTGTGCCTTGGACTCTGAATGACACTGGGGTCATTCCTTTAAAGTCACGATCCACCGTGTACTGACTGCTGTTATTCTCTAGTTATTTCGTTACGAAATTTCGTTTTATGTTTTTCACAGAATGTTTTTTATACATTCTTTATTAATATTTACATGTATTATATTAAGAAAGCAATTTCTTCTATGCAAGATATATAAATTACAGTATTTATAAAAAAAGATTCTCTACAGTATTTATAAAGAAAGATTCTCTGAAGAACATAAGGACTCAATTTCTTGTATTTTACTGATTGTCATTTACTTTTAGCTTAAAATAATTTGAAAATTAAACTAAAGGGTAATGTAAACTGGTCAGCTAGCTAAGTACTGTATTAATGCAGTACCAAAGTTTTTTCTGTACTTGTTGGGGTAGTGCTATAAGGGCATCAAGGAGTTCAAGTGTGTAATTGGGTTAAAGTGTCATTGTTAAAGAGCCCCAACTTCCCGATTCAAAATAAAATCCAGTAAATTCCTTTTACTCTTTTGCAGAAACTGAGAGCACGAGATTAGAAAGAGTGAGGAGCTATGCATTTTAGAAACGGGTATCTGAGCAAATATTAGTAATAACAAAGCTTCCCATGAGCACTAAGTGAAGTGGTCTTAGGAAGTTTCCTGTCTCAGATAATCAGTGGAGCCCTGCAGAGGACAGATTAGCACAGCTCCTGCTCAGCAAGGGCTCCGGCTCCTGCTTCCGCTTGAGAGACACTCGTAATGTGGTAAGGACCCAAGCCAGGACCTTGCATACTAACCTACTAAAGCATCCTAATAGGAATTATGTGCCCTTAAATATAGGATTTGGCATCTATTAGCAGTTTATATAAAGAACTTGGCTGTTTTCAAAACTACTTTTATAGAAAACACACAATCACTAATTCCTGAAAAATAGGTCGTTTCAGAAAATACAGAATTAACTTGGGAACTCTGTAATCATGTTTAAAAAGAAAACTAAGATATTTTAAATTATAAGATGCAAATAAATGACTCTAGCACTTAGTAAATTTCCAGCTAAATAAATTATTGGAACAAATTCTGGTTTACTAACCTTCTTAACCAGTAAGTTTTACTGTTGAGTTTTCAATTATCAAGACATAAGTTATATATATACACTAATTTAAAGTTAATTTTCTTTGAATCATCAGAATCATGCAATAGTTCAATAGCATCATAAATGATTACCCGAGTCACTGTAGATATGGGTTACTCAAAAAAAAAAAAAAAAAAGAGTGGGTTTTCAATATGTAAGACAAAATATCTCATTTATTTTGGGGTTCCTCTTGTTACAACAGCACTTCACGTGCACATTGTTCACCACAGAGCTAAGATGGTTTTACAATAAAGCCGCCTATGGTTTCATCAAATCTGGTCACTCTACTAACTACTCAACCGTAGGATGGACAAGATAACCAACAAGGGGCTCGGCAACAAGACTATCTCTCGGCCAACACCACCTCCCTAGTGACGGGTTTTAATGCTTTACAGGAGATGCACCTTCCTCCCCTTCTCTACTTCTAACGGTCACTCTCCACTAGGAAAACTAGCTTGCATTTTATGAGTACTGTGAGGAGGAAGTATGTGGTTCTTAAAATTTCTTTTGACTTTGCATCAATATCCAACAACTCACTTCCTACAGAGACTAACACCATTCAAAGACAGGAATTCTAAAGAATAACAAAAGGGCTACATGGAGGGCGCTCTCTCCTCTATTTAATTCCTAGCTTTCTTTTCACTAAACAGAACTGCAGAAACTAAGTGCCAACCCTATTTCAAGCTACATCAAGCAAAGTGAAAAGGAAGCTTTGGGTACTGTATAAATTTTAATAATGTTCTTTATAATAATTCTTTATCTTTTATGTTTTTCAATAATACCACATTTCAAGTCTCA